ATTATCATATAATATATAGATGGAGGCCCACTCACGCAATTATATATATATATATATATATAAGCGCAATGCACACATAATCAGAACATAAATATAAAACAACAATAATTATTTAAGATACCCTTCAGACATAAAAAGCAATTAAAATATTTATAAAGTATATTAAATTTTATTATCGCAAACTGTTTAAATATGTTTTACGTTAAAAATTTAAATTTAATTTTTCTACTATAACATAGTAGATAGCAATGAAGATGACTATAGCGTTTATATGTAGTGGCATTTGCATGTTATTAGACAAAACGAGAGTTTAGGACATATGGGGTTACAACGAATTAACACATAGATGCCTACCCACAATACATATATTACATCAGTAGTACACTTGTGAACTATAAAAGTCATTAAACATTAATGACACACATATTCTAGCTATATTGCTCTCCGCTACAGGCATTCTATCCATTACACTGTGCGACACAAAATTTTCAATGAAATTTTTTTTTGTTTTTTTTTTTTTTTTTAAATACTTCCTTTGTTTTACTTCTGATCGTTGGAATCGACTGACTGAGAGAAAAGATGACGCTACACAAATTTTATCAGTCCGTTTGTTCACTTCTGATTATTGGAGCGGGACTGGTTAATAGAAAAAATGAAGCTACATAAGTTTAATGATTCCATTTGTTCACTTCTGATTATTGGAGCCGGACGGGCTGATAGAAAAGATGAAGGTACAGTTCAATCGTTTCGTCAACAAAGGTCTTCCTATGGTACGTTTTTTCATATGGTACGTTTCCGTAAAAAGCGAGTACCCTTGCGTCAATATAGGTAACTAAATGATCGATGCCAATATTGTTCGATTAACATGCATTGCAATCGATAACAAAACTTGAAAATGTTATAGTGTAGGTTAGTACAGAACAACTCTCTCCTTGAAGCCAACGGCTACATAGTCTTTAGCCCACAGCGTAGTTATATATGTTTTTTCGAATGCGCATTGAATACAGTCTACTATTATCTAAATGAAGAAATCGATTAAGCCATATGCGACCGTTAATTAACAAACCTACAAGTGGTTACAAATCCGATACAATATTTAATAACTTTTCGTATACATAAATCCCTCACTTAATAAATACTTATTTCATTTAATATCTGTATAAATTTTCTCTTGGACAGTGTAATCAAAGCCCTATATACTACTTCATCCACAGGTAAACAAAGAGCTTACGCTTAGAAACCAAATGACTCATACGCATTAACATTTGTGTTAATTAAATATTAACAATTTACAATTTGTAAATTGGCAGAAAAAGTGAAGGGATTATTTTTTTTTTTTTTTTTAATTAAAACTCTATAGACTATGAAATCGAAGGGCCAGGTAATGGCCAGGTAGATGGAATAGAGATTAAAAAAAAAAACATTAACAATACCATTAGCTATATTTAAGAGTTAATAAAACCGCTCAATTTAATAGATCGTATGGACTTCCTATAAAGATTTTTGCTCACAAAAACATCAATCTATATATATATATATATGCATATATGATTTTGAATTCGTGCTCTTCTTTCATATATATCCAATGTCTAATTGTAATTGTTGCTCTTGGTATTTAAATTGATTTAAAAGTTCTTCTAAATCTTAAAACAACTTTAGGATGGTCTACGTTACTTAGGGTAGGGTAGTGTTTTTGGGGTACTTGTTTTTAATATAAGCAATCACTTAGTATAATGTCGCTGATACATGTAATATTATGATAGCCGGAAAGAAGTCGAAAAAGACAGACAGAGAAAAGGAGAGAGAGAGAAAGAGAGAGAGATGGAGATAAAGAGTGATAGCAACCTGGGAGATGTATGCCAGATTGTTAAGCGTTATATCTTTCCCTAGGCGATCACTCGCTATAGCCACGACCATGCACTAATTGCAATTATATATGGTCTTCCGCAATATGAATCTCTTCACTTTACGATAGATATTGACTTCGGTTGACACAAAAAGACTAGAATTCCCCACAATTTGATACATAAAATAGAGCGGTAGATTCAATTGTCAAAAGCCAAAAATCTACAAATCGAAATTCCGCGGGACCGAATTAAGATTATAAACAAGTATTCGTTCTAACTATACTAGCGATCATGTTTTTCAATGAATTTAATATTCATGTAGATATTCATTACTATTTGAAATTTCAATTATCCTTCCATTTGAGTGACAGGCTAAAAAGAAGGTGTTTCTGATAAATTTTATTTGGATGGAAGGAAACCTCTTTGCCAATTTTCCATGCCATGCCATATTCGATATTTTACTAAGAATAATTGGCCGAATGGGGAAATTACCGACAAACATAGACCGATTGAAAATTTAATTTTGATCAAGAATATATATGTGATTTGTAGCTTCTCTTAAGCTTCGTTCCTGTAGATGGTGCAAACATTTTGCCAAAGCTAATACATCACCATCCTTTGATGGTACAAAAGTACAAAGAGATATTGTTATCAATATCAGTGACTGTCATATGTGATAAACAGATCATTTCCCTTAGCCAAACCTTTGTGTGAAAGCGAACTTTTTCTTTTATTAACTGTTATAATTATTAAACGAATAGGATGTTAGTTGAAAGATTGCCATAGATGTGAAGTTTTTTGCAATTAATGGCAGCGACCCATAAATGCCTATATATCTAACTGTGGTTTGAAATGTTTTACAAACCATTTGCGACCGACGTTTACAAAGAGTATATGTTCGTTCTTTCAAATGTTTTTAAACCGCTTAGGGCATTTTCTCAATTAATTGCGAATTTCAAATAGTTTCAATAATGCGCACACACATATCATTACATCCTCAATACAAATCAGCGTAGCCGGGGTCTTATTAGGTATTGTATGCCACTCATTTTACGAATCAAATGCTTCAGCATATAGGCGTAATAAAATTGAAAAATACTTTTGCATGAAATATGTCAAAATATTGAATGGTAAATATGCGAAATTAGCTGCAAAGTGATGCCGTTATTCTGTCATACTTAACAGCAAAAACTAAGGTTTACCTCATTCCGTTCATAATACTCGGGAATAAGTAATTCGCCTCGAATAAAATGTTGAGCCTTCTTAGTGTCAAATGACGAAATACATGACCATGGATTTAATGAATTAAATTGAATATTGAAATATATATTGATCTCTTCAGATATCAACAATTTTCATTTCGATCTACAAAACATTTCAATCAAA